GGAGGGGGGTGAAGAAAGAGTTCAAGATAAGAAGAATATTCGTTGTGAATAAAGTTGCCACACCAAAAAAAAAAAAAATAAGGGGCACCGGGCGCCGTTGACCGGTTCACCGTCTCGAAAAATTCAAACTTTGCTCGGTGCGGTAAAACTGTTTTGTGAGCATAACGGACAAAAAAAGAGTCTTCTCCGCGGAGAAACCATTCGACCACGGATCGTTTCTTAACAAAAAGAACCGTTCGAGAAGAAAAACATAGAATCCGACGACAAAAAAGTGGAGGTGCGGGGTATCGATCCCCGTACTTCTCGCATGCTAAGCGAGCGCTCTACCATCTGAGCTACACCCCCTGCCGTAGGACACAGTCGCGCGCGAGCGATCTGATTGCATTACAACGGCCGCGCCCCGCCACACAGGCACGGCGCTGCGCCAGAGAAAGCAAATACCGCCGAATCGGGTCCGGGGAGGCAGAGGGACGAGAAGAGGGGGGGGGGAGGGGTACCAAGGTTACGTTGACCTCCATAGGTGTGCGTGTGCATAGAGGACGGCGTTTTGCACGAACCCTAATAGAAAACGAAGGTCCTACTTTGTCCCTTGTATGTTCCAAAGTAGTCCCTCAAACTAGTGATGGACTAGGGGATTTCGCATGAATGTGTATATGGGTACATACTCGTAGTAGTTAGAGATAAAAAGGCGCGCTGTAACTCTTCGCAGTAGAGACTGGAGCGTACCCTCAGGGGGACTTCCGAGGGACTTCTAATGCTGGGATTTTTCCAAATCTCTAAGTCCTGTTTTGACCCCTTTTGGTACTTTTTAGGGATTTGGCATAGGACCTACGGAAGGATTTCAAAACCGGGATTCTATGCCTACCCGCCAGGCGCCCGAGCCCCCCAGGGCTGTAGGCTGTACCGCCTCGCTCGCGTGCCTCGCGCTTGCCTACACCCCAGGCGCCCGAGCCCCCCAGGGCTGTAGGCTGTACCGCCTCGCTCGCGTGCCTCGCGCTTGCCTACCCGCCAGGCGCCCGAGCCCGCCAGGCGCCCGAGCCCCCCAGGACTGTAGGCTGTACCGCCTCGCTCGCGTGCCTCGCGCTTGCCTACCCGCCAGGCGCCCGAGCCCGCCAGGCGCCCGAGCCCCCCAGGGCTGTAGGCTGTACCGCCTCGCTCGCGTGCCTCGCGCTTGCCTACCCGCCAGGCACCCCCCAGGGCTGTAGGCTGTACCGCCTCGCTCGCGTGCCTCGCGCTTGCCTATGCGCCAGGCTCCTTGCTGGTAGCAGGTAGAGGCAGCTAGGCCATCACACAGCGCCTGCTGCTCCCAGCCGGCAGGCCCGGCAGGCCCGCGTCGCGTATTGTTGGCAGCGGTCTGCCGGCGGACCAGAGGCCGCGCACGGCGGCTGCTGGCGGCTCGCTCGGCGGCGCCTTTACTCCACCCGGCGGGGCTAGGCTCGACAGGCAGCTGAGCCAGCTGAGGTTAGGCGGCCGTGAGCGCAGGCAAGCGTCCGCTCCGTCGGACCACCCCGTCTGGCGCCGTGCGTCAACATGTCGTCGACGTGACCGGCACGGGCATGGAGGAGCCCCTGGCCGCCCTGGGCCCCGCGTGCACGCCATGCGCGCCCGGGCTGTGGCCGGCGGGGCCCTGGGAGTCGGCGCCCTGGCCGGGAGCGCTGGCGTACGCCGCCCCGGGTGGTGGAGGACATCCGGCCCAGCAGCACCAGGTTGCCGACGAATTGTACCCGGACAGCTACGCACCCAGTCTACCGCTCTCCGGGTTTGACGACGACCTCGCCATGGCCACTCTGGCCACTATGACCACGTACCAAGAGTACCACATTCAGGTTAGGTGGTCAAAAAAACACAAACAGCATCGAACTACGCGGTGATTGTGTCGCAAAGACTCTAAAGTCACACACAGAAAAATAAAATAAAAAGTCGCATGTTTCTGGTGACTGCTGCAGTCCGACTCACTGTTCCCGAGTGATTCGTACGCCGAGCCGCCGCCCGACTATCCGCTGTACAACTGGACCCTCCCCTACGGACCCGCCGTGCAGGCCGTGCAGGCCTCGCAGCTCGCCCCCAGCCCCACGGCCCCCGCAAGCCTGCCCGCGCGCCTCCAGGGCCACCGCGGCCGCCCCGGGGAGCCGGTGCACGTGCAGTTCAAGGGCAACCGTGAGGTCCGGCGGCTAGGCGCGAGCGGCGGGCCACCAGAGCAGGTGCTTGCGACCTTCGCGGCTAGTTCCGGCCCCTCTGTCGCCGCCACCACTCACCCCCACACGCACGCCACTCCCAGGCGCCGCCAGCGCAGGCGCCGCCCCCCTGGAGCCTCGACGAGTTCCTGGACGACGACGTCGTCGAGGTCGAGGTGCGGTCGTCGCAGCCGGGCGAGTCGAGCGGATCGGAGCGGGTCGTGTTCGACAGCATTGAGGAGGCTCTGCTGACCATTGAGGCGCAGGACCTGGCCGACACACGCCAGCAGGTGGGTACGGCGGCGGCAGGGGGAGCGGTGCTGGAGGTGGTCTCACGGGCCCTGCGCGACTCAGCAGGCTGACGCGGTGCGGCCGCCGCCGGTGCCCTCAGAGAGGAGAGTCGTGCGGCCCGCGGCCATGAGATCCCGGGACTTTGACCGCGGCGCCGAGCGAGGCCTCGTCGGCCTCGGCGACGGCACGCAGGAGGACGTGGTGAAGGCCGCCAAGTCGCTGTTCAGCAAGCGCACCCGCACCCTGTACCACTGGCTGTACCCAGACACGTCCAAGACCAAGCTCAAGGCCACCGTGTCGGCCGCGTGGGACACGCTCGCCGAGACTGAGAAACAGTTCTACCTCTCGCAGGTGGTAAAGTTCGACGAACCTAGAGAGAGATAGAGAGAAGAGGTGTGGGGGTACAGGCACTCACAAATGTACTGCGCAGGTGCTGGGCCGCTTCGGCCTCCAGGCGTCCAGCCTCATGATCAACCCGCAGCTGGGCGGCATCAAGGACCTCCCCGTGTCGCTCGTCAGCCACAACACGACGACCCCTTGGACGTCCCCGGCGACGGCGTCGACGGTCGTGACTAAAGGGCCGACCCAGACGGAGCGGCCGGGGATGGGCGGCGCCAGGGCCACGGCCGCGGCGAGCAGGGCCTCCCCGAAGGCAGCCCCGACCAGCAACAGGGCCCCCAGGCCCGCCCCGAGGCCGAGCCCGGCCGCGTCCGAGGCGCAGCAGGCCGTCGACGGTCTCTTCGCGTCCTGCTCGGACTCGGACACCTGGACGTCCTACAGCATGAGCAGCAGGGCCTCCTCCGGGAGCAACAAGAGGCTGGCTCTGGGGGATGAGGTGAGGGACCTCCAAGGCCCCTTGTAGGTCCCGGACACGTCTTGGACCACCCTGGAGACAAGACTTTACAGTATTGTGTCGTCCCATGCCGTCCCTCGTGGGGGTCAGGTGCCGACGCCGAAGCGCCCCCGCAACTCGAGGGTGGAGCTGGAGGCGGAGCTGGAGGGTGACGAGGAGCTCAGCTCGGCACTGGAGACGTTCCGACTGCTGGCCAACGACCAATCGGAAGACGCCGACTTCTGGCCACAGCCAGCCGACATCTTCCCACAAGTAGTCTGATTGTGTAGGGTTGTAGTAAAGACTCGAGCGTTGCGTTTTGGGGAATGTACGCCGTCTGACGTGGTGGAAAGTGGCATCCATCAAGAATATGCCTTGTGAAAAACTGTTATTGTTGTGTTTTTTCGTTGCAAATGTAGTGTCACATGAATGCGAGACTAAAAAGTAAGGACTTTTAGTCATTTGTAAGTTTTCGTTTACATTGTTTTGAATTATTATAACTGGTCAATCGACTGTAAGGATTAAGACAGGATCTAAGGACAAAAGGACAATACTATTTCTTTTTTTTAAACATGTAGTACTTGATTCCAGAAAGTACAGTTGCAGTGGACACAAGATTGTCTTCAAGCAAAGCCATCACCACGTCACCAGCAATATACATACACCTCATAGTTTTGACTAGTTTAGTGGGAACATACAAGCACCACAGAAGCATTTGAACAAAGAGGGATACATGGCACCCAATGAGTAGAGAAATTCCACAGCATGCAAATATTGAGATAGATAGTGTAAGGGCATTGTGGTTCACTTTTCCTATCCAATTGCAATCGCTTATTCTCTATTCTCTTAATCATGGGTTACATAGGGATTACACAGAAAAACAATTAACAAAACAAAATTCAGAGGGCACACTACAGATAAAGTATTAATCCTGGTCTGTCATGCATGTGTCTTTCATGTGACAAACTTTAATAAAATGGATTGAAAAGAATCTATTGAAATAGACAAATCACATTTAAAATGCAGAGTGATAGAAAGAGTCTGGATATTTAAAATGTTGTTTTTCCATATCAACAATGCGACATGAATTATCCACTTGATTGATTGCTGTTGATTTGTTTATTATAAGTAGATGAGAGTAGACCAATACTTCCCCACCCTCAACTTGAGATTCAAGAACAAGTCAACTAAAAATTTACGTACCAATGCATAAGAAAACTGTGTGTAACTACTTGGCCCAACACAAAGAGAACATTTAACAAACCCACACAAAGTACAAAAGAAGGTTCTTGGAGATACCTGCTTTCTCTACAATGCTGCTTTATGCAACACAATCAGCAATTGATGTTAAAAAATGAGCATGGGAGGCAAGTTCAATAAAACCATAATCACACAGTAGGTAAATTATGGTTTCAGAGGTACATATGTACTCACTCACTTTTATCACAAACAGGGATAATCGATGTCTTCTACATTAATTTCATTCATGTCATTAACAGTTTTTTTTTAATATTGAAATTACTTTAAAATCAATGTTATTAACACTTGGAACATCATCACATAACAATAAATAAACAAAGAAACAAATAGAACTTACATAGCATACACATATTTAACACCAAAAAATCTTTAAAAACTTTTTACTTTAATAAACTGTCTTTTAAAATCAAATGGTAAATCCAGATATATTGGATCAGACATAATCTTGGACATAACACAAATATTCATTGTCATACTCTTTAATTCATACACTACTGTTTCCCTTTGTAACCACACAGTATCTAAGAGTCCTTTTTGTTTGAAAGACATAAAAAAGATACACGATAAATCGTTGGAGCAGAAAGGAAATAATTCAGATCTTTGCTAATACAAGACTTAAGACTTTGGTAACTCATGCCACATTACACAGTGAAACAGAAAATGCAAAACTGCTGCATTATGAGATTGCAAAAATAAAGGAAAAAACAGAGTCAAATATGCATGTCATGGTATCGATGAGTCATTATCTTCACCGATGGAATAGTAGTTCAGTAAGGATTAAAATTGAAATATGAGAGAGGGAATATCAAGATCTTCAGAAACAAGAAATTAAAAAATAAAATCAACATAATCATAACAAAAGCACCAAAAAAACAAAAGTAAATATATATCATACATTGTACGCACAGTACTTAACAAAAGAACAGTAAGAAGTATTATACATTGTACGCATGGTGAAGACGTGACACTTCAAATAAAATGTCACCAAACAATAAAAGTAATAATCAATACCATATTGCCTGATACACTTCAACAAGATAAGAGCTGCTGGTATATAACACAACCTAGCACTGTACACTATATCACTAGTGAATTCAGCATTTCTGCAATAGCAGTAGATACAGGAACCACAACTCCCGGGCAGGATATTGGGCTCCGTAGTAGTTTAGATTTAAGTACAAGTTAGATTCAAGCGAAAAATATAAGTCTTAAGAACATGATATAATTTGCTATGTCATTGAAAGCCAATGAACAGATAATTTATTTGAATAGAGAATATGTGGTAAGACTGATCATGAGTCATCAAATGATGAAACAGTCAAACAACTCATTTAGGTCATTTCATCATTTCAAAGGAAATGAACTCAAAACATAGGATGCGTGCACTACATCGCAATGATTAAATGTTTATAGAAACTTAAGTATTGTCCAGAAATAAAACCAAAGTGAGTTAATTTCGTGCATCATGACAAAAGCACACGTTTCAAGAAACCAAAAGTCATCTACCTTATCAGTTAACCTTTGATTTCATAGGTTTTTGGAATTTGACTCAAATTATCTGGAATTTCAGTCTCAGATAAATCACAATATCAAAGAGTAAGATAAGATAAACCTTCACTATACCTGAAGATTGTATTAAGTACAAAACTGTGAGCAGGTAACACAATTAAATGGGACTAACAATTCCACCTTTAAATTGTAGCATTTGACACATTTGTTTCACAAAATCTTACATCATGCTATGCTACTAAAACTGTTAGTATTAAAAATTTGACACAAGGTCCTCTCTCTGACATGGAAGCTTAGTAAGGATACTTCAAAGCGTTATTAAAACTGGGAGGCAGGAATCAATATAGAAAATCAAATTACTTGAAAGGCATTCGACTGCAAATATTGCTGAGCATTGAAGTAAAGGGGAAAAAAGATGAAATGGAATTTTCAAATAAGAGAGAGATATAAAGAGAGATTCAGAAAGGCAGCTGCCTATGATAACTTTTCAATCTTCTTCAGCTTGGTCTTGCTTTGTCTTGTGAGAACTTGGCGAATCAGTTGAGGACTCTGCATTGTCATATGGCAGCTGCAAAACAGTGGCATTATTACACATCAGATGCTACTCTATACACACAACAAGATGTAGTTAACTGAGAGGGTTTAAGATGTCTGTGAATGTGCAGACTTAATTAATATGAGGAGAAACAGTACATTTAATGCCAGAGAATGCAGTTGAGGACTAGCGAGGGTATCTAGTTTATGTTGTGATCTAGTTAGAGAAGGGTACATTAGGGTTGGCAGTCTTAGTAACATGCGGAAACAAACAAAAAACTAATCACAAAGGTTATGATTAAGACACACAAAAGAATATGGGGGAAAAGGAACTCAAAGTTATTTACTACAAAGTGGGACAGAACAAAGTGCAACCATCGAGAGTAATAATCACACCTACACAAAAGCTAAACGCATTCCACACATTGCTTACCAACGATTTATTCACTCAGTACAGGGAGGAGAGACCAGCATGTAGGAAATACAAAACCAACCATTAAGACCAATTCAGAAAAAAAGGAAGAGAAAAACGATGACATTAGGACATTTTATGACATTCTGAATCATCTTTGAAAATTTACCAGACAAAATACCAGTAAATAGAGGTTTCATGAGAAAAAAATAATTGTAGTTTCAAGTAAAACATTATAATATACATTAATTACATTAATTGATTAGACAGAAACAACTTGTTAGAAAATATAGCTGTTAAAATTTTATTTGTTTTTTTAAAAAGAAAAGAACACCATAAAATGTCCACTTGCTAATTTTGCAACTTCATAAGAATAAATTGAGAAAAAAATTTGCGGAAAAGCAAATAACAGACACCTTATAATTGGGTACCTCTGACTGCAATTCAAAAAATCCAGGCAGCAATATTTTTAAAGTGAGAAAAAGAAGATGAAAGGTAGATGAAAATGATCAACTTTGCTGGGTATGAAGGTATAGTGTGGCATTTGACAAAATAGAACAAAATTTACAAGAAAAAAGGAAAACTGATACTCACAGTTCAATATTTTGAATGTTGGAGTTGGGGCATGTCGTGTCCACTTTGACATGACATTGCTTATGACACTTCAGTAAGCAATCTCTGCATTCATAACCCTGTTTTCCAATGCGCCGAGCCACAGTCTTGCCGCATATTTGACACACCGTTCCTCTGTAACGAAAGAGAAACAGATAGTAGTCGTTACCCAGATTACATGTTCTAAGCATTGCTTGTTCATCACGTCAGATATACAACTTACCCTGTCAGATGCTTAGCAATGAAAGTGTGATCATTGAAAATATGAAGTTTAGTACCTTTCTTCCTCCACTTTGTCTTCTGAGCTAACGATAATGGAACCAAGTAGTACCTGCAATTTGATTTAGAAAAAATAAATATTTTTTTATCCAGGGAAGGTAATTTGTTAAAAGAAAACAAGTTACTTACTTGTGAATGCCATTCTCCAAAGTTTCCAAAACTAGATTGGATGCTTCATTTATATAAGTTCGAGTGGATGCACCACTAACACCAGAAGCCTCACTTAAACTTGAACGAGTTGAATCGGCACGGAGTCCAGGCACAGTTAAGTAACCTGAATAGAATGGTTGAATGAAACATTTAAGCACATTTTATAATAGTTCTTTAATGTAGTTCTAAGCATATGCTTCTAATTTCATCATATAATCAAAAAGTATAACTTTCAAAACTCAATTATTGATTTTGATTTTTTTTTAAATGACATGTTTTGCCCTGTTTGCAACTACCAATATTAACTACATATTGATAAAGCAATCGATGCTTGGCCCTTGGCGGAGACCATGCACCTAAATCATGCATTTCCATTTTCTTTTAAGTTGTGCGTTTGTTATTATGGGTTATGATCAGAGTCCTATATGAAGATGACCAAGGATTTGTTAGTGTAGATAACATTTTCATTCAGCTTGGTCTGAACAAGAAGTATGCCTACCATGGAATCAATTTCAGGATTTTACTGTAAAAGACACATGCATGAACCAAGGTTGAAGATTTAAATAAGGATGACAAAGAATTTGCTTTCTTGTACATACTTGTACAATTTGAGCCTAATTTACATCATGGTGTATGTGATGACCAACCAGAAATCCTAAGCAGGCACAAAACTAGGAACACAAAAAAGTATCCACAGATCCTTAATATAATAACGAGGCAAATGGCAAGACATAGGAATAAAAGTATGAAAGTTCCTCTAATATTTTTATAAAATGTGAATAGATAAAAAAGATGATCATCTATAACAAGCGTAAAAGTAATATTTGCAAAAATCTAAAAACAACAAACAAAGCACTGCATTACTCTGCATTATTATATTCAATAAAATTAGTAAGTTGGAACAACGCTTGATATTTCTTTAAGTGTAGCTTATGTCCTAAAATTTACTATTGTATATGATATCAGACGATTTCTCAAGGGTAGGTTCTAGCAACTGTCTTTCTAGGTAAGTACAAACATTCAGCTCCAAGCAAAGGCAAAAGGCTCCGGTACGCTCAAAAATTTTAACACATATAACCTTGTAAAAGTCATACCATCTAAATCATTCAGTGAGGAGTGTGAATCATGTCGAACTTCTATTATCCAATGATCTTGAACAAGAAAAACCAAAAGATATTAGCTTAAAAGCTGAGAATTTCCCTTAGATGTACACTCCATTCTTTTTAATAATAAGACCTATCAGCCATGCCTTTTAAGTACGTAATTCAGAAAGATTGTTCAGTGCCTAAAGTAAGGTTTAAGCTTTTCCTTTTAAATTCAATTTTTACTGAAGGTTACATTGATTTAAGAGAAAAATGTTTCTACTCAATAGCTAGTAAACTGTACATGCATCCTAAAATGTCCTAATGCAAAATGTTACAATCAGGGGAACTAAAATGCCAGAGATGAAAAGCCTGTCAATGAAACACAGAAGAACATACCTGATGAGGAGTGTTGTGAACCATCATGTGCACGATCAGCTGATATTGATCGACTTAAAGCACTGGGAGATTGGTCTCTGTTTTCATTATCTCCCGGGTCAACAGATTTTGAGCGAACCTTAGAGCGGTTCAACCGCCTCTTGATTGTACCAAAAAAGTCTCTTTTTTTCCTACGACTGCGACCACGGTCTGACAAGCATAGCAGTAAAAGGTGAGGTGTAATAGAAAGGATACTTAAACATAAGGGACAAATGTGACTACAAATGTGAACGAACTTCCTCAAGGACAAGCAGGGGGCAAGCATAGAACAGAGATTTTTCTCTTCCTTAGCATAAGTGCAAAAATTTCTAGAGCAAAGCAAAAGAGTACACCTATATTGACAAACTCACCATCAGTGCTGGTTAAATGATCTCCATCAGGTCCTACATGTGGGGTGGTGTTAAGCTGTTGTTGCTGCTGCAACTGTTGCTGCTGTTGCTGCTGTTGCAAAGCAACTTGCTGAGGAGATTGCAGGCCAAAACCAGACTGAAAAATACACACGAATTTTGTAGTAATACACAGGAATTCTGTAGTAAATTTATCTAGAAACAAGGTTTAATTAACAGAAGATCTATTTATATATGTGGGTAGAAAAGGATTTTAAAGTCAAATAGTACAGCAGCAGATACATGAAACTGGACAGGCATGAAAAAGCAAAAGTGCAAAATAGCAACAAAACATTTAAAAAAAAAAAAGAGAGAGAGAGAGAGAAGAAAAAAAGAAAGAAAAAAAAGAAACATGCAAAACACAAGAAAACAGGCAAAGTTTTGACTTTTCCTCTTGTTTTATTACAAATGAGAGGAAATATAAAAAGACACAATACCTGATCAACTTCATGCCAGCGTCCATTCTTTCTTTGTTCAACCTGTTTTCCAAAAGCCAACAAGGACATAACACACATAAGACAATAGCAGGTTAAATGAATTACCATACTAAAAAAACCTAGCGTGTCTCATTAGCCTCAAACCAAACCACTCTCACTTCAGTTAAAGTAGCATGACTATTTTTAAGCCATAAAATAAAACTGCTCTATATGGCAAAACTAAATTAGGGGATATTATCATTCATGAAATAATGGGAAAAATTGAGGGTATAGGGTTTATTTCTAGCAGCAACTTACTGCTTGCATTTAGGTAGGCTGTGTCTGTGATAATCATGATACTGAAAGACTCAGAATAAGACAAGAAATCAATTGGAGCATATGCAGCTTTGCTTTTTAAAACATAGCCCAAACTAAGAAACTGAGTCACAGACAACAGAGCAGGAGTTCTCAACTCCTGAAGTTTTTTCCGGCCCAAAGCCCAAGGCCACGGTCCCGTAATGGCCCCACAGAAGGCTCTCTTTGACTGCTAATGAGTTGGTGCAACTCTAATTGATGACAAGGTCACAAGTTAATTGCATGCTAATGGGAAGAGCTCACGGGACACTGTTACAGCAAAAATATTGTTTCAGGGACATTACTCTCAAAACTTAAATAACTAACTTAAATCGAAGAAAGAGTAAAGCACTGTCTTTCTTCACTAAATTTGATTTTTAGTCACACATTTCACTACATGCTCAATGACTCACTTAGGGTTGTTCTGAAACTACAGACTAACATTACCTTGACAAGTTGACGAGGTCCCTGCTGCTTGTTGGTCAATTCCGAAAATCAACAAAAGATATGAAGAAATTAGTAAACTTATAAAACAAGTTCAACTAGGCACTGGGAGATTTGCAGAAAAATTTATTCTCACCCGCTGAACGCTATGAATGATAAGTGTGCTCTTATCTGTCTGCAAAGGTTGTCCTCTGCTTTGAAGCTCAAGTTCCTTCAATGCGGATTCAGTTACTCGTTCACCACCATTGGATAGTTGGTGCTCTATAAACAGTCAAGCAAAAACAAGGTACTAGTTTACTTGACAACCAGAGTTCTAATTACTATTGAATTCTATTGATTAATCAAGTCAATTAAAAACAAATATTTTTTCCCTCAGAGTTAGGAAAAGTTAAAATAGTTACCTCCAGAGTTAGCAAACACCGTTTTAGTGGTGGTGATAACTGCTCCTGATGGCGATGTTGTCTTCAGCGTTTCTTTTAATTTGTATGGTGTACCACCAAAAGCAGGAATGTCAGCTCCTTCGATAAACAGGAACTACAGAGAAAATAAGACAGACAGATTAGAGTCTGTTCAATGTATGGAGCAGATTTAAAGTCAATTAAAGTACTATTTAGACTATTACATATACTAATTGCACTAAAACAAGACTGGCACTAGTTGAATCTTACTGGGTGAGTAGCTTGGTTCTATTTTAAGGCGTGATTGAGAAGATCATTTACCAAATTACCTCAGCTGTTAGTGTGCCAGAGACAGGGTCAGCCTCGTAGGGGCGTGACTGTAGAGATATTACTTGTCGTTGACTTGGATTTATGAGCAGTTCTTCTACTCCCACAATACCCAGCCCCAAAAATTTGCCAGTTCGAGCTGAAGCAGTTGTTTGAGTGAGACCACTTCTGTCATAAATCTCAAAGAGCAGCTCTGCAGTATTTGGGGAGACATCACTAAAATAAAAGCACACAAAATGAAAGCAAACTTCATCAAAACACAATTAAACTAAAATGTGAATATGAAAGACATACAAGAGGAAGTGTTCATCCCATACAGGACTGTCTGTGTCTTTTTTCATAGAAGTTTGGTACTTCTGAGCTGGTTCATCCATTTCGACAATGCAATAAGGTTCCTTACAGCCTGAAATAGATTTTTTCCTCAGTTTAATTTTAAAAAATGTTGTTTTCTTGAATTATTTAAAGCACTACAGCACAAAGCTGTTTTACAATACCTTGTTTGGCTCCTAAGCCCTGAGCTTTAATAACTTTGACGAGAAGTCGACGTCCACCAGCAGATCTACCACCTGGGACGGCACCAGAGAATGGTGTTCTCATCTACAAAACACAATAAACATATGGGAAAATCAAAACTTGAAGTGCCTAGTTATTACGGGTAAACCTAAACCAAAATAAGTCCTACCATGCTGTCATAGTGTACTGGTAGGACGTGAGGTGCTTGAAGGGCGTGTCGCGAAAAATGTGGAAAGTCAGGGTACAGGCTAAGATTCAAATGAACGCTTGACATTCTAATTGCAGTAGAAACAATTTCAATTATAACATCTTGAAGTTGCTGTTCATCTAGATTATTTTTTATACTGCCCACTGGTGCAAGAGATACTTTAATCTGCACAGAAAAAAAAAATTAGGATACAAAGATAATTACCTAATAGGGGGTAAAATTATATAATTTACTTACTTCTGGCCAGCCATCACATTTCAAATCAGCAAGTAGTTTCTCAGTGATGCAAACAATATTTAAACGTGCTCGAAATCTGTTCACATTTACTCGATAATGGGATACTTCCACCTTCTCTCCTTTCTGACGAAAAGCTTTAAGCTGAAGAGCAGGTGTAGCATCACAGTCACAGGTAATGGTCTAAAAATAAGAAAAGGGAAAGATTTTTGTTTAATTGTTTTAAAAATTAAAAAAAAAAAACAAAAAAAACACTCTGCTAACTGGTAGTAAACAAAATGAATGTTTAATATCAACTTTTCAAAGAGGGAACATGACCTTCAAATAATAAGCTATCACACAGGCAGAAAGAGAAAAATACCCCAATGATAACCTGTTGACCTGAATGCATACTTTAAGTAATCACCAAGGATAACATTACTCACACAACAATTTTGATCATTGTGAATGGTCCCAGGAAAAGCATATGTAGGCTGTTCAAAAATTAATTTCAGTTCTTTTCTTTTTCAGTTAAAAAGTGTTTTAATATTGTGTAGTAGGTGTAATTTAGATTATTTAGATTTCAGATCTCATGTCACTACTGGCTCTTCCATGACTTCAGAGTAGGGACCAAAGTCCACCAGACAGTGTGGGAAATTTTCTCAAGCCTCAACTAGGATCAATTATATTTGACATTGCACTACAAAAAATAGACTTTGGCCATTATTTTCAGGGACCTAAAATTAATTTACAAATGCAGGAACTTTACAAAAACTATGTTATTTTTTTTTTAAATGTAATAAACTGTCAGTTGAGTCATCATAATTGAATTAAACTATATACTAGTACAATAGTGAGTAACAAAATGCAGCACACTGTGCATTAAATCATTTCCTGGAAATTGAAAACTAAGGTATTGTTGGATGAATTTCATGTTAAACTTACAACATCATCTCTTGAATCACACTCAGCAAAGATATTTGTAAGAGTTGGAGCATGAGTCTCAGGTAAAATACGAACAAACTCCACTCCAACACCAGCCTAAAAAAAATAAAAAGGCATGATTACAGCTTCAGAATCTCAAATGTATGGTAAATTAGCTGCATTAATCCAGGTGTCATTGGTAAATGTACCAAAAGAAAATAAAAGGCGAGTTTGTTATGTTTACATCCATAAAACAAAACAACAAATTTGAAATATTTTCCATCTTGACAGAGGCAGATTGATAACTTTAAACTAAAACATTATCTGACACATTTTAGATTTCACAAATATTTCACGTTTGTCAATTAAAAACTGATATTATATATAGAACGTCAGAGTTAAAACTCACCTCTGCTACCGACTTCCTTGTAGACTCATTTAGGGATTGGACCCAAACTCCCAACAGTTCATTGAGCGTAACAGGATCGGAATATAACCAGGCAAATACTTGGTTGACCCAATGCACCGCTTCGGGGTCTGGACCAGTGGCAGGGGGCGGCAAAGTTACAGGGGATATCTTAGGGGCATTTTTCAAGGGCCCAACTGAAGAGCCTCGTTTCGTTGAACCAATTCTCTTGCGAACAGGAGGGGTAGGAGGGACATAAGCCCCTCCAGAAGAAGCTGAACTTCTTAACTCTTTGGCAGCTGTGGCTTTGACTGGATGTTCATCAATGACACTGGCAGTTGTGGTTATTGGGGGTACCGCATTGCTCCCCTTCCAATTTCCACCACGAATGTACTTTGCATAGATGAATTTACAAATACCAAGAACAAAAAGACCAAACACCATCCAACCGAACATTAGCATAGCCACTGTATCCATTGTAGTATCGCCACCACCTTCAAAACTACATATCAGGTCGTCGATTTTATCCGCCAAGTCGGCCATATTACTCCATCGTTCCGACTACCAGTTCCAAATTTATTTTAAAATTAGACCGTCGACGTCTAAAAATACTGAACAGATTCACATGATAAAAATAGCACCCACGCCCCAGCCGAGATCGTGTTTCGTTTCGCACAGCAGGCAGAACTCTGAACAGCAGCGGAAAACCTCTAGCAGACGACTAACCACCAAGCAAACAAGCACGACATTCCCTCATGAGCTAGGGCACACAGCCTGTTGCGAGGCTACATGGACGCGCGAAGAAGAGAAATTGCGGTCAAGTCATAACTGACTGAATTGGTTTGGAATTAATTTACTGTAAATTTAATAATCAATTTAATCCGGATTTTTAAAGTTTTGAATAGAATTCGCCCAGGTCAGCAACATGGCTAAATGTGTTACAATTACAAACAGAAAAATTCTTCAAATAAATTCTTAACAATATCTTCTTTATTTCTGTTTAAAACAGCCTTAATGTGTACAACTTAATCGAATTACATGATTAAACAATCGACGTGGAATAGAGACAAAAATATGACCTTGAGTGTGAAAATATAAGTAGCTCTATACCTTAAACATTAATGTCCTCATATAACTCAGTTTTTCTTACGGAACTTTTCACGCACTGCATCGTTAAACCCTTCACGATTCCGAGCAATTTCAATGGCATAGAATTGTATTCTAGGAACAAGGGTAGTGTTCTTCTCTGAGAACTCGTCAGTGCAGTCAAGTCTAAGAAGAGTGCCAAAACTATAATCTTCAACACTATCCTTATATTGCTCACAAAATGGTCTCCACATCTGTAGCAAATCAAAGTGTTAAGTAAATGTAAAGTTAAGAATTTGCTCAACATTTTTAAAATTATTGAGTACCTCTTTCCCATCAGCACTCTTGATTTCATCTTCTTTAATCAAGTCCACTTTCAAATCAGGAAACTTGCTTCGAAATTCTTTGTAAATAACATCATCTTGAGGCGTGAGCCGGAGCAACTTTGGGTCAACAGATGATAAGAGCTGAGGGATAATAAACATACAAACCGTAAATGTCTACATCACAGTTAAGTTACTTCAGCTGTATCAGATCAGTAACTGCGTTATTAAAACTTACATTAAAATAAACTTCAGCGTGTTTGAATGCTTTTATGGCCCACATAGCCTCAACTGTTTCCTTCAATGGACAAACATGAACAATTAATTATCTCAAGCAACTTTTAAAAGTTTAAGCACAAAAACAAGTTCCATACACTTACGTCATTTCCAAACTCATCAGCTGGTCTGGAGAGCAAACTCGCTCCTTGCATCAAGCCATCAGCACCCTAATAAGGAGTGAAAGTAGAAAAATTAGTTACAATGCTGACGTTGAGTCCAAGTAAGGAAAAACATTGTTGGATGAGTGCCACAAAATGACAAGAAATACAGGGACAGAAAAAAGAGAATGCAGTAGAGAGTGCATTTTCAGTCCACCACGACAAAGTCGTTGACAATGACTTTCGATATGAAACAGTAAGGATTCAGTACTTACAACATCACCGACTTGAGCCATGTTGAATTTTGACTGCAAAAATGTCAGAGTTAAAAGTGGCCTTTGGGCTTTTAGGTCAAATGATTCGTTCACACCAATCCAGGAGGTTGTGTTGTCAGGGTGTTCTGTTGTGGCCGGTGGTCGTGGTCGAACACGTGTGACTATACGCAGGAATCTGCTCGTCTTTTATCAAGAAAACAAAATATGATGGATCACACTGCAAATACTTCTAGAGCGGGAGTTTCAAATTAGAGCGTCGTCTGCGTTGCGTTCGGGTGGAAGTCATGATTTTAAACAAAATTAACTGTCCTCATGATTAATGATTAAAATGCAAATTTCCCTCCACGACAACATTTCTAAAGAAACCGTTAATATGTTGGTCATGTCAATGTCAAAGTGAAGTTACTCAAGAGTGGAAATAACAGACGTGTCTCCGAAATTTAGTAAACAGAAATAGTGCCACACCCTTCATCATGCGCGTGCGATGGTGGTGGAGGAAGGTGGAGGGATGACGCAGTGTTTTCGGAGGCGTCTCTTCCGAAGGAACCCGAGCGCGATCGGTTGTCCTGCCGAGCGGGCGGCGAGCTCAGTCGCAGTCCCCGGCCCTCGCTTCGGCGTCCTGTCCCTAAAGGACGGAAAGCGGGGATTATCCTTGAATCCTTTGACTGGCCACCCTCTCAGGTACGTCGTTGGGACCTTTCTACGCGAGCCGACAAGAGACGCCAGCCCAGCGCAAACTCGCATTCGGAATGGCGTTTCATTCATTGCATTGGTCTGAGTAGCGCGTTGGTTCGTCTCGGCTCGGCTCCGTTCTCTCCCCCTGCCGCCGTGTGGCTCGGCACGGCTCGGAGCGCCCCTTTGCTCCGCTCGTCTCAGCACGAAGCAAATATCGATCTGTAGTAGACCTAAAGTAAAGAGGTATAAAATGCCTGGTGGCCTATATGCTTAACTTTCCCTTTAAAAGTGTCGTCGAATACTCGAGCGAAAAGCATTCAAATTCCCGATCACATGCACATTTGCGAGGACGAAGGGATCTTGAAGTAGGGATTATTTATCTGTTTGCCTTTGTATTTTATTTGTGTATGGTGACCAGTTCCATTTTGATTTCCCACTTGTGTTTCTTTCCCTAATTTGAATCCGGAATGTATAATTATTTTTTTATGGTTGGTATTGTGGTGTTAGTATTTTCTTCCTTTTGCAGGCCCTATTAAATACTTGACCTGTTGCCTCTTTGCTGTCATCATGCAAGGGGAGACGGAGGGGAACAAGTTCATTCACAATATGTCTGAAAACTCATCTGACAATAGCGTCCACCACTCTTCACAGCAAATAAGTATGCCTGACATGTCAAATCATAAATCTACTGAGTCCTCACATGTTAGCGCACAAGAACATATGAATGGCATGACTCATGAAGCATTGCATAGCATGTCTGTGCAAGAGCATCTGCATCATTTATCTTCTTCGCAAAATCAGAGTGCAGTCTCTGATATTGCTGCCCCTGAAGTGCGAACACGCATACGGTCGCAAGAGCCTGAGATAGTATTGCTTCAGTCAACTTTCACACAGACCCACCCAGTTGATGAACTCAAAAAGGTAAGCATGCACGCAAACCAGAATTAGTTTTCTTAATAGGTAGAGTTGGCTAAATATTTTAAATGTTTCCCTCTTTTTAAAATTTATTCTAGCCCTGTCAATCAGTTGCTGTTCAAACTCAAGGTAATTCTGAGTTTGAACCTCAGGCATACAGTGTTATAACTGGTGATGGAAGTGTGTCATATGATAGTGATGGAGTGCGAGTGCTACGTGCAATTGGAACTTGGTAAGTGAATGTTGTTTCATCATTGAGTACAGTCTACTTTTATCAATTGATTTGGGTTCTAATTGAAAACATCTCATTGAAATAATAGGACTCCAAACTCTAACTACCAAAATGCAGACCAATTTGTCAATCAAAATTCTGAGGTCTACATGAACGGATCAGCAACTGAATCAAGCCCGGAAAACTCTATGATTCATCACTCAGTCAGTAGCTCGCCAAACAGTGCAGGGGCTGTGAATTGCATGACATCAGTACATTCTGATGGGGATGGCGATCCAACAGGAGCAAACAAGCAGCTTGCCGGAGATAAAAATTCGTTTATTTGTCCAGTGTGCAACAAAACCTTGGCTCGCAAAGATAAGCTTGTCATCCATATGAGGATTCATACAGGTAAGGTTTTACAAAGTATTGCCATTAATTATATATGATATTTGAATTTTTGAATCAAGAGCATTATCTGTTTTAGGGGAAAAACCATATGTGTGTGAAGTTTGTGAGCGTGCATTTGCAAGAAGAGACAAACTTGTGATGCATATGAACAAATTGAAGCATGTCACACCGTCAAATTTTGCTCCTCTCGGGAAAAGGCACAGCCAGCCTTGCCTTGGATTACCCACCTTGCCTGAAAAACGACAAGATATGAAACTGGAGGTGAGCGATTTCACCTCCTGGCAGTAAAAGACCCACTTCAAAAAGCCTTAGAGACACTTACCACTCATTTCATTACAGGCACAGGAAATGGGATCTCCAGCATCTTCTGTCGACATTCAACCAGCTTCTCTGGTTCAAGTGGTTCACGAACAACCTGCTATGACTTGGAACTGTGAACTTTGTGGACGAATTTGTGTGAGTCGAGAGGAGTGGACAGCACATGCTCGGTCACATTTAGATGGTGGAAATACCTTTGGTACTTCCTCTGTCAGTACAAGTCTATCTGTTCTTACTCCCCTCTCTTCATATCAGTTCCCTGGAACAACAACTGACCGTCAAACATGTGTTGTCTGCCGACAAGACTTCCTTAGTAAAACAGATCTTATTTTACATCTCCGTAGTCATTTTGTTGGTAAACCTGAACTTTTGGCAAATCATGTTGCTAGTCTCACAGATTCCTCTGGTGTATGTTAGTGAGGTATGTCATTCTATGCATCAAGCATAGCAACATTCCTCCAGCAGTCGAGTTAGCATTGACTGAGTACAAATTCTATTCAAATAGAAACATCTATTTTATTTAAAAAGGAAAAAACTCTTGTACTGTAATATGTGATTTTATTTCTAATTTTATCATTTTGGACCCAGCTCTGCTCTCTAATATTTAAATGGTCAATCTGTGTTTGTTAATCAACATTGATTACTGCTTCTTATGTTTGTTGATTGTGCCATACATTAACTAGTCTTTTCATATCATTGCTTGTCGCTCAACCCTCTAATTTCTGCCTCATTCTACCATGTTTTAATTTTAAGTTAGTAAGCAATTTTTTACCCTTTGTATTTTATGTCATATGAACTGAACTAACACTGATTTTTAGCTGTTAGTGATCCCATAGTTTTTACATATTTTTTGCTGTTTGTTCTTCAGTCTAGATGATGGTTTCGAGAGCACTGCTTTTAATCTTGATTATGAATGATTTACTTGTATTGTAGGTAGAAATTCTATCTACCAAGAGATCAGAAATTTTTATGGCCAGATCATGGACTCAGAAATTTAAAATGCTGTTATAGCTTTTTTAGTTACGCTCCTACATCAATTGAATGTAACAGTAACATTTGGCTTCTTAAGTCTCTGCATGTTTTTAGTGAGTGGAAGCACATTAAAAGTACAGTAATAAAATTAATGTTCTTCTTTAGTATTGTGGTGTATTTGGAACGTGTCAGAAATTTGCAGATTTGTTATTTTTTGGTACACTTTTATTTTGTTACTTTGGCATGTGATCTCTTCATTGTAAAAGTTTTATCTTTGCCTCAAAGATACTAGCAGATAGTTGTATTTTTAACTCTTAGATTGTCAGAAGTATCTTTCACGATATGATTGATCTAAGTAGAGAGGGGGGCCTGTGACAAACCTAACCACTTTTGTGTAAAACCATTGTGTTTGCGGAAGTGGTATTAATTTTATATTTTCTGTAGGATTTTAATATTATTACCTCATAGCCTATGACTAATTAATTGAATTATTGTTTGTGTCTTAACAAATCCATCTTTCTGGTCTGTTAAATTTCAAGAGTTTATTCTAATTTTAATGGTTGGAGTCTCCATTGTTCCACAACTAATAAGTGTCTACTGATTCATTTTAAAAAAGTAATTAAAACCAAAGCGCCATTTAGGATGAAAATCTTTTTAAACTTTACTTTGTTATTATGAAGTTTGGTTTTATCCATCCTAATTGAAACCTACACTACAGTATATTTGATATTTTTGTCAGCACTTCACACTCTAACACTTCCTTAAGAATCATTTTTCATTGTTATTGACGTGGTATTGATGTTTCTGATATTGTGCTTGGTATCAGGTGTTCTTGAGTTTTACAGTATGTACTCATATTTTTATGAAATATCATCAGTTAATTTGCAACTTTTACCTGATGTAATTATTCAACCAGATCTAAATGCATATGGCTGATAGTCCACAGCTATAAAGTAGAGTAGTATTGCTCAGCCCGGATAGCCTGTAGTGGTCCAGGCCAATGTATCAGTATCACATAAATAATGTACCTTAGAGCATTGCTATGAATGCAAACCACTGAACAAGTTAAAAATTGAGACACTACTAATTTGACCATTAAACCTAGATGAAAAATACTTAGACTGTACTAAATGTAATAGTGGTGTCTTGTATAGTTTTTATTGTAACTGTAGCCTATGTAAAATGTATGTATTGTTTTTTTTACTGCTACATTTTTCTATTGTCATCTGCAATTCATTTCTTAGCCCTGTTATGTTTGTGATGCTTGTTCTCCTGTACATGTATATTATAGAACAATTCTTCGTTATAGTAGTCCGTTCCTGGAATCCCTTTTGCTTCAAATAGGGTTTTTACACAGCACAGCTTATCCGGTACAGTATATTGCTCAGATTTATTGATCAGAATGATCGCTACTTTGAAGACTGTTGTAATTTGGAGGTAAACCTCCTATACATCAAATGAAAATATTTCTCCCTTGCTGAAAACTGTTAGGCTGACAATGTCACTTTCTATATATGTTTTAATTATTAAGTACATGACTCCTTGGTTATTGAAGTAGGTATGTATGAATAGGGAACACCCTTGTTCTGTACCCCCCATGACAGTAGAGGAATGTACAAATTGTGCAATCAATTATTATTTATGAATTAAAGTAAATAGTGCAGAAATTTCTGGTTGTTTATTGCTCCTGGTGTGATCATCCTGGTCTCGATAGCGGTATTCCAAAAGTTTGGGGTGCCGTACTGGAAAAGAGTAACGAACCACACTTGTTCTTTTCTCAACGCATTTAGAGAACCCTCTCCTCTATCCCTAATTTTTCGTAGATCCCTGGCCGCTGGCCGTCTTGGCAAGTCAGTCTAGGTGGGCACCCAACCCACGACCCATAGTAACGTGGCGGGGTGGTAGTTGCTTCACCACGGGCAGGGAACATAATTTATTTCCCCCCAATTTCGACGCAACTTTAATTTACAATAAATAACAACGCTCAATCTATGATGAGCGGATAATCCGGATGTTGACAATGGCCAGTGAGGACTATTACATTGGGCCATTAAAGGCATAACGGGAATAAAATTTAATGGGGCTTAATCACTAGAACGACTTTTTTTGTTCTTCTGTTGCTCACCTGCTGCCGATCGTCGCCAGCGGCCAGCGAGTGGAAGTAGGCGGAGGGGGAGTTTGTTTCCTCGTTTCCTTACTCTAGAACACCGGTCGGGTCGAACGTCCAGCTCTCAAACACGAAAAATGAGGTTATATTAAGTTACCGTCGTGTGAGTACTCATTTTTTAAAAAATGTATGTTAAGCGAAGTTGATAGATGCGTCATTTTAATTGTTTACCTTTTCAAATTCATAGTTTTTCTGGTATCTCTTGCTATTGCGCATAGTGCATTCGCTTTGTCGTCTGCCGTATAGTACGCCCTCATCCTCATCTGAATTTTGCGAAAGAAATGTTTTTATAACTGTTTTGCAGCAAGTAGTTATTTCTTTCTAATTGAATTTTATTTTAATTGAGGCGAGCTTTTGATATGTAATTAGTTTGAATGAATAAGTGGTCTAAGTATTTTACTGCTTGTTTCCATATTTTGCTTCTGCTAGCAGACAGCGGTTCTTGTAAACACATTAGAAAGATAAAGTTTGGAACACGATTTTCATGGAGGAGCGTCAAATGTACCTTATACCCAAATTATGTGTGAAGATAATCTTTTTACACTTTCTTTTACATTTCCTAGAAAATTGATGTATTGATATTATCTAAGTAAAATTGCATTGGTCCTTTCATGTCTCTTACACAAGTCGTAGTGCATGTGAATGTGCACAAGGCTCGTTTCATTGGTGACCATCATTTCATATCATCCTACACTTTATTTTCTTTTGAAAAGTTGACAATTAAGTACCTAGTAAATTACTTAAAACGAATTAAATTTCAGTTGTAACTGCCATATGTTACCAGAATATCTAAACAGTAGTTATTTTCAGCGGAGCCTAGTAGCTCCACTGCACAATTGAATGTTTCACATGATTGGTACATTTCATGAGCCATCAGTGAAATTAAATGTTTCAATAAATTGCTGTCCTTTGTGTGCATTTCTATGTGCATCACTGCATTGACACTGATGAGGAGACGCCACCTCTCAATAAATGCAAGCTTTATTGTCGCAACTATCAGCATCGCTTCTATCAGATCAGGATCAGATATTCCCCTTATTCTAAATGAATTTAAGACTGACTGTCTCCCTCACTAATGTGACTCAGGCTTGTGGGGGAGATAAATGACACCCTGACGGCACGGCACCAAGATGCAGGAGGTCGGCGAGACTGGAGGGGACTGGAGCCTGAGCCCCGCCTGGCAGCGGATGAGCTCGCTGCTCACCCAGCTCGACAGCCACGTCCTGGAGCGCAAGCTCAGGCTGTGCCAGGCAGCGCTGAGGCCGGGGCCGGTGCTGGCCGACTGCGAGGAGCAAGTGAAACTGGACCTGAGGCACTTCGAGGTGGACGGCTCCGTGACCTTCAACCTCAGCTGTCTGCACTGCTCGGGGCGCGGCCGCGACTGGGACCGGGAAGACGACGACGACGACGACACCTGCGTCGACTGTCAGGGCAGCGGCCGACACGCCCCCGTCGTCCTCGACCTGGCCCCCTACCACCCAGCGCTGGACGAGGCGCAGCTCATCGCCAGGTTCCTGGCCATGGTCGTGTTTAGGGGCGGCCAGGGCGTGCTCGAGGGTGCGGGCGACGGCACGGCGGCGCTGCCCGAGAAGGCGTCGAGCGAGGCTGCCGTGCCGGAGCTTGTGTGGGCGCTCGACGGGGAGGTGCTGGACGAGGAGGACGAGGATGACGAGCTGCGGGAGCTGGAGCTGGTGCAGCTGCAGGTGTGGGAGGAGGGGCTGCAAGAGCAGGAGCAGTGGGCGGAGGAGCCGGTAGAGCTGCAGGTGCGAGAGGCGGATCTGGACCAGCCACGGGTGCATGAGGAAGTGGGGGAGGAGGACGAGGAGGAGGACGAGCGGCGGAGGGAGGAGCTACGGGAGCAGCTGCAGGTGTGGGAGGAACTGCAA